TCTTTTTTTCTCACCGGCACCGATTAAACCGGCAAGATACAGCGCGTTCCCGCGAAATTTAATGCCGGACTTAAGAGAGATTAGCCAACTTGGTAATTTTTAACAAGCGAACGGCAGCAGCCGGCTGTTAACCCGTTCGGGCTCGAATTAATTTCTCTTCGAAACGTTACGTCTGTCGGCACCGTGAATCTGCAGAATTTGAAAAAAAAAAAAAAAAAAGAATCTTCTGCTTCTTCTCCCGTTGCTTCGTCCCGTGTAGTTCTTTTTTTTTTCTGTCACGGTGACTGTGAGAAAGGTTAAGAGATGGGATCGAGTACCTCGCGGGTAGGTTCGAATCTTTAACGCGGTGATGTTTGCTTTCCATTTTACTAAAATCGCTTTGAGCATGGGCTGATGATTGACGAGGAAGACAACAGTGAAGGACAATTGATAATATGTCTTTTAGTTGATAGATTTTAGAAGTAGATTCTTCTTTTTATATATATATATAGTATATAATTAAATAATTATATAATTAAATAATTTATATAAATGTCATAATTATTAGATAATTTATATATGTATATTATTAAATAATTTATATATATATATATATTATTAAATAACTTATATATATAAATATTAAATAATTTATAGATTTGAACTTATTGTACTGACGTTTCTCTATTTTCCATTTTACTAAATTGGCTTCAAACGTGTACTGATGATTGACAAGGAAGTCAACAGCGAAGAACAATTGATAATATATCTTTTAGTTGAGATTTTAGAAGTAGATTCTTCTTTTATATATATATATATATATATATATATATATACATACATACATATTATTAAATAATTTATATATATAATTGCCGTAATTATTAGATAATTTATATATATTATTAAATAATTTATATATATAAATGCCATAATTATTAGAAAATTTATATATATATATTATTAAATAACTTTGATATATATATTAAATAATTTATAGATTTGAACCTATTGTACCGACGTTTCTTTATTTTCCATTTTACTAAATTGGCTTCAAACGTGTACTGATGATTAATAAAGAAGCAAATAGTGAAGAACAATTGATAATATATCTTTTAGTTGAGATTTTAGAAGTAGATTCTTCTTTATATA